AAAAAAAAAAAAATTCTTCCTTTGTCCCTAGGGAGGTTCTTGGTAAATATCAGTTATTAATGTTTTTTAGTTATTTCTAGCTACCCATGCCATATCCCGAACATTACTGAACAGAACGAGAGATGGCTCATAAATTTCCTTCCCACGTGCCCCTGATCTCAGCCCTCCCAGCTGACCTCTGACCCTGTCCTTGCCCACACAGAGCTCAGGGGGACTGTGACCCTGACGTGCCAGTGACTGAGGGCACACGCTGCTGCCGCCAGGAGATGTACATTGACCTGCAGGGGATGAAGTGGGCGGAGAACTGGGTCCTGGAGCCTCCAGGCTTCCTGGCCTTCGAGTGTGTGGGCACCTGCCAGCAGCTCCCAGAGCCCCTGACATCCAAGTGCCCGTTTCTGGGGCCGCGACAGTGCATCCCCTCGGAGGTGGCCTCGCTGCCCGTGATCGTCAGTATCAGAGAGGGAGACAGGACCAGGCCGCAGGTGGTCAGCCTGCCCAACATGAGGGTGCAGAAGTGCGATTGTGCCTCGGATGGGGCACCGGTGCCAAGGAGGCTGGAGCCGTAGGTGCCCAGTGCAGCCACCAAGGCTGCTGACTAGATGACATGCACAGAAGCAGGTCTTAATGTAGGTCTTACTTTGTACTTAGCCTGTGACCCCTGGCCGAACTTAGTGCTCCTATATTATCTTTGCACTATGTTCTTCCGTTTTCTATCCTTTTCATTCGTCACCCATCCCAAGCACTTATGTGAGTAAATAATGCAGCTTGGATGCTGAGCTCCAGTAGGAATCACAGCCTACTTATTACAGGGTATAGCTGAACAATATGGTCTCTGCATATTCTCCACTGAGTATGGAACATGAAGCCCTGTTAGGAGAACTGGGGAATAGAACTGATTTACTCTATCATATGATGAGTTAAAACTAAACCAAAAATTCCCTATTTCCTCTAGATAGGGAGGATGTCTAAAATGGAACTCTCATTTCTCTGAATACTGACCCATTGTGGAGTTTTAGAAACATACCTCGGTCTGTATTCCCCTGAGTGGGTGCTAGGAGGGAGGGTGAAGGGCTTCAGACTTGGGGGAGTGGATAGGGAACCAGGACACCTTGTATGTGAATCTGATGGGGCCACAAACTAGGACCTCCAACAAATGCAGAAACCTTTGGGTCACTATTTCCTCTTAAAAAGGAGGAGCTGAGCTTCAACCCTAAGACCTCATTACCCCAGGAATCAGACAGCACCTAGCCTTACTTGCTCTACTGGAGACTGAGCCTTGTCTGCATTTATTTACATCATTTCCCCCACTGTTTTAGAGAACTTAACACCAGAAACCACGTGTATTTACATGATTTTTTGTAATCTAGCAAATAAAAGGCAATGTAGATAATCTGAAGAAACAAAATAAAAGTGATATTTCACTCTCTGTCTCTGTATTTGATTTCTGATACTCTTTACATAGGAGAGAGAAAGTAGTAATTGGGAATGGGGCCAACATAATACTCTGAAGAAAGGACATGCAACGCTAGGGGGTGCTAAAGACTGTAATAACTAAATTTAGATTAGGCTTTTGTTTATGATGATGTTTGTATTTTCCCATACAACTCTCATTCCAAAAATAGCATCACATAGCCTGTAGTCCCAGACACTTGGGAGGCTGAGGCAAGAGAATCACTTAAGCCCAAGAGTTTGAGGTTGCTGTGAGCTGTGACACCATGACAATCTACTGAGGGTGACATAGTGAGAGTCCGTCTCAAAACCCCCCCAAACAAAAATAGTATCATGAACAATCACTCATTTATACTTTGTTTTTCTTTAAACAGTTTCATTCTATTGCCCTAGGCAATACTATCAGTACCATGATGTCAGCCTAGTTCACAACCTCAGACTCCTGGGTTCAAGTGATCCTCCTGCTTCAGTCTCTTGAGTAGCTGGCACTACAGACATCCACCAAGATGCTTGGCTAAGTTTTCTATTTTTAGTAGAGACAGAGTCTCACCATTGCTCAGGCTGGTCTTGAAGTCCTGAGCTCAAGTGAGCCCTCCTGCCTTGGCCTCTCAGAGTACTAGATTACAGATGAGAGCCACTATGCCTGGCCTTTGCCTCCTCTTTAGAAAGAACTTTAGGCTGGGTGCAGTGGCTCACACCTGTAATCCCAGCACTTGGGAGGACAGGGCTCACAGGTTTAAGACCAGCCTGAGCCAGAGTGAGACCTTGTCTCTAAAAATAGCCAGGAGATGAGGCAAGCACCTGTAGTCCCAACTACTTGGAAGGCTGAGGCAAGGGAATTGCTTGAGCCCTAGTTTGAGGTTGCTGTGAGCTGTGATGCCACAACACTCTACTGAGAGTGACAAGGGAGACTCTGTCTCAAAACAAACAAACAAAAGCAAAGTGATGATGTAGCAGCCCTAGTGTCACTCACATGTCTGTGATGATGCTGGTGTAAACGAACCTACGGCACTGCCAGTATAATTCATGCAATTGTGTACAGTACATGATAATAATGATAAGTGATGTTATTATTTTATATATTTACTATACTATATTTTTACTCATCATTTTAGAGTGTACTCCTACTTTTAAAAAAAACAAAAGTTGACTCAGTGCCCGTCGGTCAGTGGTTAGGGCTCTGTCCACACACACCAGGGCTGGTGGGTTTGAATCAGGCCCGGGCCTGCTAAACAATGACTACTACAACAAAAAAAATAGCTGGGCATTGTGCCAAGTGCCTATAGTCCCAGCTACTTGGGAGACTGAGGTAAGAGAATCGCTTAAGCCCAAGAGTTGGAGATTGCTGTGAGCTGTGATGCCATGGCACTCTACGAAGGGCAACATAATGAGACTCTATCTCAAAAAAAAAAAAGTTAACTGTAAAATAGCTTCAGGTTAGTCCTTCAGAAGGAATTGCAGAAGAGGAAGGCGTTAATATAGAGATGAGAGCTTCATGCACATTATTGCTCCTGAAGACCTGCCAGGGGGACCACACATGGAGGTTGAAGGCAGTGATATTGATAACCTTGACCTTGTGTAGGCCTAAGTTAATAGGTGTGTTTGTGCCTCAGTTTTTCACAAAAAAGTTTAAAAAGAAAAAATTGTTTTTCTATTTTTAGTAGGGATGGAGTCTCCCTATTGCTCAGGCTGGTTTCAAACTCCTGAGCTCAGGCAATCCAGCTGCCTCAGCTTTCCAGAGTTGTGAGGATTATAGGCGTGAGCCCAGCCAGTTAATAAGTTTTATCAAATTTAACATTTATAAAGCCAAAAATTTATTGTAA